AGATCTCAGGGAAAGGCATTTTCCTCCCCTGAGATGATGTGCATAGTCACATGTCTAGTCACTAGACTGGGAAAGAAAAGCGAAATAATGTATGCAAAGAATTAGGGATGCATTGATATATCGGCCGAAAATTGCACTTTTGGCATGATGCCGAAAGTGCCATTTTCCTGCCGATACAGCTAGGGCTGCAACAACTAATCGACAACCGCGCATCCCTGCTTTCTTTCCTCCCCACTGGGCGCTGCTCTGTGTCCCAGCGGGAAGGAGAGAAGCTGTGACAGCCTGCCGAGCGCTGCAGGAGGAGAGCGCTGTGAGCGGCTGGCGTCTCTCCTCCCACACCGCTCAGCCTCCTATCACAGTCCAGGAGGCCGCGCTGTCAGGAGCCTGAGCTCTCCTCCCTACACCGCTTGCTCAGCCTCCTGTGACAGCGTGTCAGAGAGGAGAGCAAATTACAAACACTCAGTGAGTGTTTGTACATAATTGAGGACATGGTAAGGTTACTATATCCTCAATTATGAATTAATGGGAGTGATCTACATCACCTCCTGTTCATTCATAGTTGTAGTAAACATACTCTGTCCTCATGTCATGAATGAACAGGAACACTCATAGAGGATTCCTGTTCATTGATAACAGGGGACACAGAAAAAAGATGGAGGACTCTGTGTCCCAAATCTCTTTTTCTATTTTAAAAAGGGAAATATCAGGAGTCTGTTTAGACCCCCAATATTTTCCCAAGGCCCCTAAAAGTAAATGTAAAAAATAAAAATAATAATAATAAATGAATAAAAAAATTAAAAAGTTGATAAAAAAAATAAAATATAAAAAAACATTTTCGCTATCGGTTTCGGCCTGAAATTTTTTTTATTTCAGTTTCGTTTCGGTTTAAAAATTCCTATTTCGGTGCACCTCTACAAAGATTACAAGGCCCGCAAATATCTAGAAGTATGTGTTTGTAGATGGTCATTAATAAATTGACATTTCACTCTGGGGCGGCTGTCCGAATAAGCGCAGAGCCGCTCCAAACAGAAAAAGCAATGCACTTTAATGTGCATCATTCAGACTATTGCAGAGACTGCGCAGGCCCCCAAAACAGTACAAGCACAATAATCCGGCGGATTCTGCACGTTCATGGCTATTTAAGCCATAAACAAGCTGCATCCGCATGGATTACAAATGTTAGCGTTTACCTCCCGCAGAGTCTTCTGCATGGAAAACCGTGCGGGAAAAGCAAACGCAGTATGTGAAAGGAGCCTAAAGGTGTGTTTGTTGCCATTTTAAAGATATGGGTAAAGGTCTGCTTTAACCTCTTGCCGTCCGCCCGTAGTAAAAAAACGGACGGACGGCACTGCAGCATCTGCGGGTTGCCGTCTCCAGACAGGTAATTGCTCAGCTCATGGTCTATTCTCCCTGCAGAGCGTAGTGACGGTCAGTGAGTAAATGTCTAAAAGTACTAAGAACAAATTTGTGCTTGACTAAGGTTCCTGGGTAAAAAACACTATTCAAATATCATTAACTGCCGAGTACTTAAAAGCAGTAAAAATATTTGAGTAAAAGATTAGAAATTCCCCAATCTATTATATAAGTTTAAAGCGTTCAATATAGATATTACAATGCAATTCTGTATTTAGGTGGGAGTAGCTCTTCGATTTCTTTGAAAAGGTGAAAAAAGTACACTTAGATAACAATAATCCTCAGCACCAAGAATAGTACAATATCGATTTGAATTTCATAGAGTAAGATCTAAATCTGAGCTTTAGCTAAAGCCCAATAAAACTGTCTGGAGGTTCCTGTCGGTGTCAAAGATTGCTGCGCAGTTCAGTGTATTGATTTTTACTGTGTTCAAAGACTTTTCCTTTCATAACACCTGATTGTCATTAAGCTCGCAGTCAATCTTTGTCAAAGGGGAATTTTATTGGTCATTTTGTAAGTAATAAAAACACAAACATAAATTTAGCACTTGTTATAGAGCAGAGGTCCCCCCAAACCCAGAGCCGCAGACCGATACCAGTCCGTAGCCTGTTAGCAACCAGGCTGCAGCCGCCTCTGTCAGAGTGAGATCACTCCGCCAATGCAGCAGCGGAGTGATCTCTTCAGCTCGGACATCGCAGCCGTCAGAGCAGGAGCCAAGCTGAGGGAAAGGGGACAGACGGCCAAGAGAAGACTGCTAGAACTTGTAAGTTTCTACAGTCACTGGGACACTGAGAAGTTACAATGGAAGCCGTTACCCAAGTGCAAAAAAACAGACAGGCCAGCTAAGGTTAATCACATGGCTTTCCACTAATGACCTCTCCAGCTTAGATCCTCAGCTCTCCATGGGGGGAGCGAATCCCTTATGGGATGGGAACAATAAACCTGTCATACACTATTACCCTGAATTTGTTGCCTCCTTTCATAGGATTTTCAATGCACTAGCTCGTTCCACCTCTGCTGACAAGCAAATCATGTCTATCCTACAGGGTACATGGACCGCTGCCGAAAATGCTATTGAATTTCGGACCCTGGCAGCAGAGGTGGACTGGAATAACGGAGCTCTGGTGGCTGCCTTCTCACATGGCCTCTCCGATACCTTGAAGGATGAGATTGCGGCCATAGACATGCCTAGTGAGCTCAAGGTTCCTATCTCTTTCCTGATTCTGATCGATACCAGGCTCAGGAAGAAACCATCTTTTAGGAAGCATCTGCCAAGGCCTCGTACCAGACTGGCTCCCAGGTTTTCTTTCCCACCCATTCCTCCCTCCCCTCCCGAGGATGGTGCGTCAGGCAGTGAATCCATACAGTGGTAGGGGGTTCACTCGCCTTTGTGAGGCTTAGCGGGCCTGTAGAAGGGAACGCCTGTGCCTTTACTGCGGTCTCAATGGGTATCTCCTAAAAACGTGTCCAACACGCCCAGGAAACACTCGCAGCCAAGGTCCTGTCGAGGGCAGACCTTAGGTGGAATTACTTCGTTCTCGGTTCTCCCAAAACGCAACCATTAATTATAGTTGTCCACTCCTGGGCCAATTCCTCTGCAGTCACTCAGGCCCTAGTAGACTCCGGCAGTGCTGGTTACTTTATTGACAGCCGTTTACCTCTGGAGAATTCCATTCCTCTGTTGCCTCGTACAGCTCCATTTGCCATTGATGGCAGACCCCTGAAGCCTGCACATATTACCTACGAGACCATTCTGGTCGATCTGGCTGTAGGGGCCTTACACATGAAGTCGGTATATTTCCAGGTTATTTCCTCTCCACACTATCCTATTGTTCTGGGTTTCCCACCATGGCTCCAGAAACATAACCCGACCTTCAATTTGCAGACAGCTGAGATCCTCTCTTGGTCTCCACAATGTAACACTATGTGCATCCATAGGCCAGTTCAGCTACTTTGTACATCCACAGTCTCCACGTTGCCTATGGAATATCTTGAGTATGAGGATGTCCTTGATAAAGTGTGTGCAGGTACTCTTCCGCCACATCATCCTTACAATTTTCCTATCGAATTGCAGCCTGGTGGTGTCCCTCCTTGTGGCAGGGTTTACCCTCTCTCTGTTGCAGAGAATAAGGCCATGGATGAGAATGTTGCGAATGGGCTTTCCTGGGGGTTCAACCGCAAGCTCACTTGTCCAGCAGGAGCTGGCTTTTTCTTTGTAAAGAAGAAGGGTGGCAAGTTGGGACCTTGTATTGATTATATGGGTCTCAATCGCATCACGCTCAAAAAAGCCTACCCTATTCCTTTAATTACTGAATTATTTGACCGCCTCAGGAGAGCAACGGTCTTTATCAAACTCGATCCAAGGGGAGCATATAATCTCGTGATCAAGGAGGGCCACAAGTGGAAGACATCGTTTAACACCAGGAGATGGCCCTTCAGATTGTGCAACACTCACGCTGTCTTTCAGGAGTTCATTAATGATGTGATCCGTGAAATGCCACAGCAATGCGTGGTAGTCTATTTAAACAAAATTTAAATAAACTTCCCCTCTCTCAAATCGCACTGTCAGGACGTTGGACGAGTTTTGCAATGTTTACGTGAGAATGGGCTTTTCTGTAAGCTTGAGAAATGTGGTTAACTTTTTGGGCTACATTATCTCCTGAGGGTTTCTCCAAAAAAGGTACACAGAAGGTGACGAACGTTTAACAATGGCCTCGTCCTACTGGTCTCCTCTCCTTTCAACGTTTCCTTGGTTTTGTCAACTACTATCAAATATTTATCAGAAATGTTTCCTCCAGCGAAATCTCAGATCTGACTAAGAAAGGCAGTGATCCACACAACTGGTCTCCTGCTGCCATTGGGGCTTTCGAAGCCCTCAAGTCCACCTTTTCTACTGCTCTGATCCTGTCTCATCCCAATCCAGCCTTACTTGATATCCCTGAGGTTGATGTTGCTGAGACAGGAGTAGGCGCCCTCCAGAGGAGTGCAATACCAGATTGGAGACAAAACAGTTGAGAGGAGACTGCTTGAGGGAACTACAATTCCTATTCTAACAGATGACAAGAACTTGACTTATCTCTTGGACACCAAGAGGCTATAGCCATGCCAGATGGGCTCTGTTTCTTTCTCGATTAAATTAGGTGGTCTCGTATTTGCGCAGATCAAAAAATTTAAAGGCTGATGCCCTGTCTTGCCAATATTCTGAATTGCGCAGAAAAGACTCCATACCCACTCTGGTTATTCCTCCAGACCATATCCTGGCAACTATCAGCACCAATTTAACCTCTCCCCTGGGAAAGCAGATTCTGGCAGATCAGCCTATGGCTCCTTCTGAGAAACCATGCAATAAGTGTTTTGTACCGGAGAATTTATACATTTAACTGTTGCAAATTTAGCAGAACTCCAAGACTGCCAGTCACCCTGGTAGGAATCAGATGACTTTCGCTATTTCTCTCCGCACGGATGTAGCTGCGTATGTGTCAGCATGTATAACATAGTAAATATTGACTTTTTGAGTTCAGTGGTTGATTTTAAGTATCGCTGCAAATATCTGAACAGGAAGTGGACCTACACTCAAGTTTACTTACAGCAAGATATTCTAGACCATTGTACTTGAGAAATTCTTGGACCTTCTCCTTCGGTAACTGATTGAAGCGGAACCTAAACAGGTCCATTTCCTGCTGAATAAACCATCGTCTTAGGTCTTCACTGAAACAGAGGAAAAAAAGTATTGTCAGTACTACTGGCTGTACAGTTCACAATTTAACCAGTTGGAATCTTGTACCTGTACACCTCTACATACCACAAGAATAGCTATGACCAAAAACTGTCCTGTCTTATAATTAAGTATTGCATTGTTTTGGGGGTGGGGGGGGGGGTAGGGTTTTTTTTGGTATTTTGTATTATTGTCTTTGATGCTACAATTACTGATCTCTTACTATAATTTGTCCCTTTTATGACAAAACTCTAATTGTGCTCCTAATACAAAGCATGAAAAAAATAGGTTTACAAATTAAATACATTCCTTTTCCATTTTGTGTGTTTTTATGCAATACTATGAAAGCAAACAAAATAAATAATATATACTGTATATCCAGTTGAAAACAAATTGCCAAGGTGAAAAGGCATGGCATGGCTAATCAGGGTCAAACTAAACTTAATATGAGGTTAAATAAGGATAACATTTATGGGGAAAAACAAACAAACAGCAAAAAACATCTTTTGCAAGTTTGCTGGAACTGACATTGTATACCAATCACAGGATAAACCTTTGATCTACACACAAAAAAAAAAAAAAGTTGTATTTGTATTTATGAATGAAGCCCACAGAAGACACTGTCAGTCTCTCCTCGTGACTTTCTAAAGCTGTCAAATTAAAAATCAAAGCACTCTTTGTTGAATTGTGGCGATAAAGAATACTCCTATGTGTAGTTTTACCAAAATCCTTATATCAACACTTATTTTTAAGTCACTGTCCACATAGGTCCAGGTCAAATTAGATGTAGCCTGTTGTACCTTTTAATAATGACACAAACAATTCTAGTGTTGAAATAAATAAAGCATTCTTAAAGTGACACGAAACCCAGGAGTTAAACCTTAAAAATGCATTCACAACTCTGCACCTTATTTGTGTATCACTCAGCTGTAGATCCTCAAATCATCTCTGAATTGGTGCCGACACTGTCCTTCCTATTGGAGGGTGGCAACTTATGTTTCCTTATGGTCCCTGTGTGTGTTGTAAAGGTAGCCACCACTCCAAGCTCACTCCCGGACTTCAATCCCATGCTTAGTTTACTCATTTGTATTGAGATTGTAGAGGTGGCTACTTACAACACAAACAGGGACCATGTGGAACATTCCAGAAGGAAGGACAGTGTCCGCACCAATTCAGAGATGATTTTAGGATCTATATATTTGTGATCCACAAATAAGCTACATTTTTGTTAATAATTAGGGCGCTTGAATTCATTTTTACAGTTTAACTCCTGAGTTCAGTGTTGCTTTAATATTAAATTTACACATCTAGACCTAAGTGCAATTATTTTATCCCAAACACGGAAATGTAACAAACTCAGAACTGGGGATGACATTTTTCAGGCAATGTCTTGAACTGCGCAGAGGAAGCATACGACAATATTGGTAGGACCCTGAAAAACCTGGATACAAACTGACGACTTTGGTTGTAAAAGAGAAATTTGAAGCTGGGTACACAGTGAAGTAGATTTAAAATGACAATTTGGCTTGCATGAAATGATGCGTTATAAAATGCAGGTGGTCACAACTGAAGGTCTTTCCTGGGAAAGAATGGCATAGATCCTGAGCTCTGTAACTATTTTTTCACGTTTTTATTATCCATTTACAAAAACTACAACAGACAAGCAAGGTCAAAGTAGAACTGTGGGAATCACAAATCCTATTAACCTATAGTTGCATCTGTTATATCAACATCATCTGTTGGTTACTTTTTTCATAATGTGCATCTCCAACACCACCCTCCAGAAGCTTTTAAAAGTCGCTATTTGCATATATGTAGCCAGCCCTACTCTCCATGTGGTAATACCCAGGCCCAATTACATGTTACTCAAGCATGTATATTCTCCAATACCAGGTAGTGAAAAGACTTAAGGGGTGTCATTGTTGCAAATAAGATAGAAGTAGACTGCTGACTCTGAAAATAAATGAAAAAAATATAATCCTACTTCCTCATCTAAAAATCACAAAGTAAAGCATACAAAAATACATAAATGGTCATGGATGGAAAGCAGTATATTCTTTCTTCCTCATCTAGAAAGCAGTATATACATATTAAAATAATACATTCAGGAAAAGCACAATGTGCCAGCAACTTCTTAATTTTGCTCATATCCATAAATGTAAACAATATTAAAAACATGCTTTATGTGTGACAATAGCTCTTCAGAAAAATTTAAATATAAACTACAGTAATACCTTGGTTTACAAGTAACTTGGTTTGAGAGTGTTTTGCAAGACAAGCAAACATTTCTGAAAATTGTTTCCTTGATATACGAGCGATGCCTTGCAATAAGAGCAAACTTTTGTAGAAAAGCACCACCCGAATAAGGCTGTAGCAGTGCGAGCGATGAGTCTGTTTAAGGACAATGCAATGTCACATTGATTAGATTCCTTGTTAAGGTTTCACGAAATGAAAAAGATTCCATTGAGTCAAGAGATAGCAGTGATTCCGTTAGTGATAGTGAAAGTCGTCCTACACAATAATCCTCCTCTCTTGAAGGTACCGTTAATTGGTTTATTTTTCTTTATATTTTGTACGGTATTATATTACAGTATTGTAATTAGAGCTGCAGCTAACGATGATTTTCAAAATTGGTTAGCCGATTATTAAGTTTGATTTAATTGGTTAAATCGGCTGAACAATAAAATACATTTTTAAAAATGGCTCCAGTGATGGGACTACCAGTTTGTATTGAATGGGCGGGTCTGGCAGCGGTGAGCTGGGGAGGAGGTGCAGCGCGCAGCGTGTGTGGAGCCGTGAACAGGGCCAACTGATCGGAAGCCGATTAATCGATTATTGAACAAGTTGACAACTTTTTCAATAATCGATTATGTCGATTAGTTGTTGCAGCCCTAAATTGTAATTATTTTTATATGAATATTTTTGGGTTGTGGAACGAATCATCTGAAATTCCATTATTTCCTATGGGGAAATTCACTTTAATATACAAGCGCTTTGGATTACAAGCATGCTTCTGGAACGAATTATGCTCGTAAACCCAGGTATTACTGTACTGCTAAAACACAAACATACCCCCGCGCTTTTTTAACCATCAATTGGAGAAATTAAAAAAAATCAGATTATTTCTAAACAGATTATGTACTGAGAATATTGCAGACTGTCCACATAAAAATCTTGAACCACACATGTGCCATCTAGTGATGGAAATTGGCAGAGCAACCGTTTACCAGACTGATTTCTATCAGTCTGGTAAACTTTTTTGGTAAATTCTGTGTAAGGAAACTGCAGAAAATGCTCAGTGCCGCCAATTATATGACATTTCAGTGTATTTTATTACTCACAATGCCACAAAACACATTTCATGGTACTTTATGACTATCTTGGCAAAAAAAATATATGTCCATGTATATACTGATCCTGCAGTTCATCAAGTATTCGGATGTTGCACATTCCCTTTACAATTAGGTTTATTTATAATGTATAACACGGTATTGTCTTGGTCTGGATCACGTTGTAGCCCGAGCTTTAAAAGCTGTAGCTAGGGGCAGTGTGTGAGCCAATAGGAGTAGAAGAGTATAGGAGTGTTTCACCACTAATAGAACAGTAGGGAGAAAATTAAGATTTCTCTCAAAATGACTGCAGATACCATTACTTACGACTGGCAGTATGCGAGGCGTAGAATAAAATGCGATATATGATCTTTTCTCCGTTGGTCATAGACGTCATCACTGATGTCATTCTGTGGAGGCTGAATAACAAATAAATGTAACAAATCAGTCAAATAATCTGTTTGGCCAGGTTGCTTGTCTGATCTCTGTTTAGTTCATTTAAATCAATAATAAATAAATAAACTTGATTGCTTCATTGCGATACTTGGGCTCAGTTTACAAAACCAATGTTCTTCTAGTTTGGAATAAAGTCTGGTCATATAATTTCAATAAAATAGTACTTTCTTCAAGTCACACTAAAACATTATAGTAGGGATGTACCGATACCATATTTTTTTTTTTCTAAAATCGAGGACCGATTTTGTATTTCCATATACCAATCACGTATTGTGTCAATGAATATTTTAATTATTATGGTTTTCAATCATGTTTCATTGTATAAGTCTCTGAATGTCATCCCTATATGAATGAACTTAATTAGTGTGGAGTGAGCGTATAGGGGAATCATGTTGTCAATTTTATTAATTCTATTCACTTTTTAAATCAAATAAAATTATATTTTCTAAACAAATGTTTGGTTTGTAAGTTGTCAGTCGGCTGCCCAAAAAAACCCCAACTTTTCTAATTTTTTGATGTGTTGTAAAGTAGCCACCGCTCCGAGCTCACTATCGCAATAGACTACAATCTCAAAAGAAATTAGTAAACTAAGCATGCGATTGTAGTCCATCACCGGAGTGAGCTTGGAGTTGTGGCTTACTTTACAACACACACAGGGACCATGGGGAACAAGTAGCTACACTTCAAAAGAACGGACAGTGTCACCACCAATTGAGGGCTGATTTGAGGATCTACAGATGAGTGATACATAAATAAGATACATTTTTGTTAATAGTCAGGGTACATGAATGCATTTTTAAGATTTAACGCCTGAGTTTAGTGTCACTTTAAATCTAAATACTTAATACACAAAAAGTGTCGGCACCAATTCAGAGATAATTTGAGGATCTACAGTGATACACAAATAAGATAAATTGTTATTAATAGGGTACTTGAATGCAATTTTAAGATTTAACTCCTGCGGTGCCATTGACTTGAATGCACCGCCACGCCACAGAACGCAGGGAGCCAGCCAGGATGCGATCCATTGCGTTCCAGCAGCTAATCGCGCTAGAACGCACTGGAAGTGTTGGAACAAGCCCTTAAGAAAAATTCCACCTTTTGCAAAAAAACGGACATGCAGTGCAAAGGACGGAAGGAAGTATCAACCTCTGCTGCGCTGGCTGATGGAACTTGTAGTATCTCTGTTCGTGGTTCCTTTCAAAAAGGATCTGTGGATGAATCACATAGCTGTGTATTCTAAGCAGCCTGCAGGTAGGAAAGCCCCAGGATTCAGGTGTGTGTGTGTGTGCGGGGCATAAGAGAGGGGTTTGCAATCTGACCATATTACATGTTACACAGTAAATATGGATGAAACATGGTCAGAACTAAGACTAATGATAAGCACTTCTTAGCATGGTAAAATACAGTTTTGGTTAAAAATATTTTTGGACCACAAGTAGATTGTCATGAGGGACAAGTAGATTGGGCCCCCGCTTTAGTCCTTGGACATGTAGTGTTTTTTTGGGGTTTTTTTATTTCCACACCCCTGATTGGCTGCATGGCTCCTAGGATTTGTCCGGCCTGCCTTAAACATGAAAAAAAGACCTTCTTTATAATATCATAGTTTTTTTGGCTAACCGTCACACTCAGGTATATAATAATGCTGTAGCACCATTCCTCTCTCTCTGTGAAGGATGGAGACCTAGTCACGTACTTGATGTTTAGATAGAGAACTTTCCCACTAAAACCATAATACTACTGACAATTTCATCTTCAATGCCTCCATTAGAAATGTTTACATGCAGCCAATCTTGTTTATTATTACCAATTTAAAAATAAAAAACATTGGAAGCAAAAAGTCTAGTAATTGCAGCTCAACACCGTAAAGAAAGAACTTTCCCTCTGAAATGACAGGAACACTTTGAACACGAAAAGGTCAGTCTCAAAAACACAACTCAACTCATATGAAACAAGAGTTACAAAATAGATCAATCTGGCTATGCTTTGAGACAAACTTGTCATGTGAGAAATATGTCGGCTGCTCTTTCTGATCTCTGTGTCTAAGAACTCTAGTTGCCTGACAGTCATACAGACCCCCTTGCATTAATACTTGTCACGGACCACAAACCAGTATAACGATTTGGACATCCGATTTTGCTGATCCACACATATTTCTGGATCAGTGACTGACATTATTAAAAGGGGCTGGAGATTACCACTCGTGGCTTTTGCAGAAGAGGATGACAACAATTGGCCTTAGACATCTCATTTCTTTGCAGGTTTCTAAGCATTTTTTGAAGACTTGTCTGATGATTCCCCACAATCTTCTGGGCTAAACACTGTCCAAAATTTGTAACCCACATTTCCAATTGTTATTAAAATGTAAGCAGTTCATCTTTCAGTGAATAACCTGAAATGCTACAAAAGGTAAGCGGTAAACTGCCAGGAGGTGAAAGAAATGAAATTTAGGCTAACAAAAACTAAAGATAATGTACATTTCAGAGTTATACAAAAAGGCCCTTTTCAGGGAAGAAGTAACGGGTTAACAAATTACAGTTGTTCTGCAGCAAAGTCAATTAAAGGAGAACTAGGAGTTGAGTGATTTTCACTCAACCCCAAAGGTTTGAGCCGACCTATGACAATGAAACTGTCACAGGTCGGCTCAATAGATCGGGAAGTGAGTGAACACATACCGTCGCTCGCTCACTTCTCGATCATGTCCCTGCAGAGAGCCGTGACTGTCACTCATGTCACTCATGGTAAGTACATTTACCAACTGTTAGATGGTTAGGGTTATTAGGAGTGGGAGAGAACTTATGGAAATTCAATAGGGATGCAGCGAAAATGTTAGCCCCCAAAACATATCGGCCGAAAATGGCACTTTGGCCAAAATGCCATCTTTCGGCCGCAATCGCGGTGCATTCCTAGTTTCCCTCCTCCCCTCTGTCACAGCCCAGCGTCCATCAGGGAGGAAACAATTATTCCGGCAGCCAAGCGGGGCGGGAAGGAGAGTGCTATGAGCATGTCACAGGAAGCTGAGCTCTCCTCCCGCACTGCCCCGCTCAGTCTCCTGTGACAAATCAGGATGGAGAGCATTGAGGGGGAGGAGTAAGCTGTCAAAATAAACCGAGCTCTTCTGCACCGCTCGCTCAGCCTCCTGTGACAGCCGATCAAGGATGGAGAGCGGGTACAAATATTCAGCGATCATTGATTACCAAATGTTTGCAAATAACTGAACATAGTGTGAGTTACTATGTACCAGTTATGAATGAATAGGAAGTGATCTACATCACTTCCTATTCATTCACGATTGTGTACATAGTAAACATACTATCGACACAATTTAAGAATGAATAGGAATACCCAGTATAGAGTGTCCTCAATCTCTTTTTCTATTTTAAAAAGGGAAATAGGGCCATGTTTAGACCCCTAATATTTCCCAGAAGCCCTCTGCGGTAAAGTTAAAAAATGAATGAATAATTAAAAGAATAAAATATTTGAAAAATTAAATAGTTTAGAAAAAAATATATGTCAGGTTTCGGCCAGACATTTGTTTTTATTTTCGGTTTAACATTTTCATTTCGGTGTACCTCTAATAGATACTCTTTAAAAACAGTGTTATTCAAGATGTTTCACACGTTTATACTCACTCGATATGGAAACTTGAGTTTTCTAAGTTCACTTTCCAGCTTCGCATTGTGGTCTAGTGAACCCTTCACATAACTAACACCGATGTTTTCTATGGATTTGAGAACTAGGAATAAAAAATAAATATATAAATGATCAAGAGCTGTGCAGAAGCATTTATTTTAAAAACTATCTGATCAATCATATTATTTCATTAAAAAATACACAAGGAGTACTTTGCAGAAGTATTCAGGACACTCATAAAATCTAATGTTAGTGAATAAAAAAAATTGTACACAGAGTTTGTTCTCTCTGGTATGTTTATTTATAAACTATTAAATTCTATTTTTCATGTGACCTTTAAAAAAGTAGTGACAGACTTTTCTTACCGTATTTGCACAGTTTGGGAGTAGAATAACCCATTCTACCAGGCAGATTTACTGGACATGACTGTGTAATCAGTTAAATTGACACTAAACTCAGGAATTAAATCTTAAAAATGCATTCATGTACCTCAAATATTAAAGTGATATTAAATCTTTAGGTTTTTTGTTTTTTTTTATCAATGAGAAACTGCATTTTTTTTTTTCATTCTTCATTTTCTTGTTCTCTAGTGGGTTCCCTCATAGCTCTCCTTCCCGACCCCTGGACAGGTGCCATCAGCTAAGCAGCTGCTGTGAAGGCACCAGTGCATACACGTTCCCAGCCATGCCTGCATTAGCTGTGTGCATCCATATACACACAGAGTCCTGCGGCAGGCCACGCCCCTCCTCTACGCCCAACAATTTGACTGACGGCAGAAGGAGCCCTCAGCATCCTCCCCCACAACCAGGACGTTCGGGATTACCTTAATGCAGAGTATGCATTAACGTAAAAAAACGCCCAGCCTTTAGTAATACTTTAACAAAAATGTGTCCTATTTGTGTATCACTCAGCTGTAGATCCTCAAATCATCTCTGAATTGGTGCCGACACTGTCCTTCCTTCTGGAGGAGGGCTACTTTTGTTCTACATGGTCCCTGTGTGTGTTGTAAAGTAGCCACCTCTTCAAGTTCACTCTCGTAATGAACTACAATCTCACGTTTAGTTTACCGATTTGTATTGATGTTGTAGTCCATCATGAGTATGTTAGGTTTTGTAGGAGCCCATTAGAATGAATGGGCTGCCAATGCACCCTGACATAAGAAAAAAAAAACACAGACATAACGCAATGCACTTGTGCGTATGTTGGGGTGCTGTTCAAAATGAAGGGCACCAAAATGCAGGTAATGAGGGTACTACAACATGGAAGTTTAAATAGTCCCTCAATTATCTAGTGCCTGATAAAGATAAATAGGAATAAACAGGCCACCTGACCTAAGCAGACTACCTTCATCATCTACCCCACCTCCCACCTTGCCCTTTTCTCTGCTCTTAGATCCATTATCTTCTCTCTGCTTCATATGCTCTCACCTTCAGTAGAGGTTTCTTATATAAGCCTATCAACTTTTAATTGGCTTTAACCATAAACGGAAGCTTTTATATCAATTACAGCCCATGTAGTAGCTTACCCATGCACTACTTAAGGAACAATTTCAGAACAGTAATATTCCGTTATTTTTATCAAAGCGACCTCCCCCTGAGGATACAATGAAGTATGTGATACATGTAAGCTAACAATGATCTTTGTGTAATGGTAACATCCAATTGCTCTGCTGTGGACAAACAATTACAGGGTTATTCACAAAAGGATGAAGAGTTGGGAGAAGGCGGGAGAAGTGAACAGTCTAGGACAAAATAGCTGATTTGCTAAAATTCTCCAATTCAGCTCACTTTCCAGTTCAGCTATGTTGCCTGGATTGTTCACTTCTCCTGCCTTCTCCAAACTCTTCACCCTTTTCTGAATAAGCTTGTAAAAAAAATGAATAAAAAACCTTAATTGTTTAAAAAAAAAAAAAAGCCCTTACGTTTAAGACGTTCAATAGCAAAGGTCTCAAACTCTGAAAGGGAAATGTTTTCAGTAGGTGGAACCTGGTAAAACTGCAGACTGAATGGGTAATGTTCATTCTTCCTATCTCCAGTTAATCTGGTATTTAGCTTCAAAAGTCGTTTCTTAGTGAACTCCATTGCCAAAAGAAAGGGAAACTGAAGAATCAACCTGCAAATTAAAAAAAGAAAAGCAAATGCATTAGGTACTGTAGTTTTCTTAAAAGACAAACGTAACATTAAGAGAGTGTTTCAAATGTCTTTGATCAAAATCTCTTATATAGTACTGCATTTCTTTTACTTTTAAGGCTTGTTCACACCAGCCCGCAAGCTAAAATGCAAGCAAGGGGTAATGAGTGGCAGAGCGGTGCACTGTTAGAATACATTGTACTGTTTATTCTAATTTTTTAACTTTATTGAAGTATCACAAAATGACACTTCAATAAAGTATATGCACTGTTGCGGTGAAGCATGCATGCATGTTCACGCAATGCACTGCAACCCACAATGCAAACATACGGCGGGAACAATTGTAATGGACGCATCTTGGTTCCATTGTGTTTTTTCGCATTTTTACGGCTCCATACGCGGCTACCGTATGTGTATGGAGCCATTTATTTGCATATGTTACAATACGCGCGTATATTTGGGGTAGTGTGAATGAGGCTTTAGATTGACATAGTCCAGGAGCGCAATAGGTTCAGAGAAGCTGCCCCACCTGCACAGTCCATGCCACCATGGCCTGCCCCTTCATACACAACATGTCTCCAAGTAAATCTTCCTATGAGAAGCGACAGGCAGGTACACAGATATGATTCACTATCCCTTGGATTACTGCAGGGGCATGATGGTTGTAACTGGGCCCTCTGAACATCCACTGGGTGCCCGACTCCTGCCATGGTTATGCTGGTGTCAGGTTCTTATCTAGGTGGAAACCTGAATCCATGCCAGCTGCTTGATCCAATGCTGCCACATGACTAGACTGTGGGTTTATACAGGTCTTCTCTTCCCCACTCCAGGCTGCTAAACAATGCAGCAGGGAAGCAAATAAAAGACAAGCATGCGGTTAGTTCATGTGTGAGGACATTATTGAACCTGCTTAATGGCCAAAATGAAAGCTTGCTTTATATTACTAGAATGAAAGGGACACTAAATCCTCCATGTTTAAAGAGACTCCCAGTCCAGCCGATGCCTGACCACCACTGGCAATTGTTACAGAAAATCCTCAAATATTGTATTTTGGCATTATTAACCTGGTCTCGGAGCAGCATTCTCTCCCCCTTCCCCCTACGGAGCTCCCATTCACTTCCAGACTGTAAGTATAAGCAGTGTATATTATTGCACTTGCCAATTCTACTGCACCCATAAAGGAACAGCAAGTGCTGCCTGATGCTGCCATTAGAAGGGACAAAGAGGACCACAAATAAAGCACGGTAAAGCTGAACTCTGGGATAAGCAAATATTGTCTAACTACAAGAGCCATGTGTATCTTGACTTGAATCGTGGTGTGTTTTGTGTATTTCTTTCAGAACCGTGCAATGATCCAGCGTGAGACTTTATCTCTATGCAGGAGCTTTATGTAATAAAGACCGGTCACTGCTGCTTTCTCTCCTTGTGCAGGGTGACTGGCCTTGTATCCGCCCCTTCCTGTAGGTCCCTGCAGGCAGCCTGTAGCTGGTAGGGTCTGCTCATGCTATGTGCAGCACAGTGATGATGTCACTGCTACTTTTTCGAGGTAATATCTGTGTTTGTAAAGACATTTGGTGCACACAAAGTAGATTTACATCTTTTGTGGCTGTTGAGAATTATATTTTAAAGTTTGTGTCCAGAGATCTGCTTTAAAAAAATATATGTATGGGTTAAGGTGGTCAAAGGTCACCTGCAGTCTGACAACTCTGTCCTGACCTTACACCACACAAAATTTAAAAGCCAGAGCGGTCAGGCAACTGGTGACCTTTGACCCCTAACATGAAGGTTTAGACCCCGGCAAAGTAAAGGGGCAAATGCATTATTTCAAAACGTGTTTATAAAACACACCACAACACTACAGCGATAACATATGACACCTATCTACCGAACGGCTGACATAGGAAAATAATGCAGCGTACGGGTATAAGGACCTGTAACCAGGGGAGACACCGGTAGGGAAAATCCACAACTAAGCGCAGCCATTGTGATAGAAACATACCAAATTCTTCTCAACTTCCACCGTTCTGCACAAAATCTCGCGCCCTCTGATTGAACGCGGGAAGAGGGAGACGACAGCTAGACCAAAGCAATCGCAACGCCAAACAACTCAATCTAGCCTAATTCTGTAGCTGTAGTCTGCAACAGCAGGATGTAAAGCCTGATCCTAGATCACATCGATAGTCACGTGACGTCAACAAGACGTTCCGCTGGTGCATAGCCAATGGGGACAAACCATTCCGTATAGCTCCAGTACCAGCAGCTGATAGGCTGTCCCAGGGGAAAAAAAATGTCGGTAGAAAAGGAAACATCGCCATTACTTTGGTGGTGAATAAGCCTGACAATTTAATTGTGCGTTTTGAAAAAGCAAGCTAAAGCGTTGATTGCAAGAATTGATGTTTCTGCCGCTATTTATGCAGGTTGGCAGCAGAGGACGTTAGCCTGTGAATCTTTTCTGGCAGGCGGTGACGTAATTACTCATCGCCCTAAAAAGCAGACAGCATAGGCAGAGACTACATTACCCAGAGATCCAACTGCCTTGTCGCGTGTGGGTGACGATTGGTAGTAGATGGGTATGGCTGGCGCGGGAATCGTTACCAGGAATTGTAAGTACTAATGATAATCATAGTGCTGGGGGCAGTTTTACAGGGGACATGTCCAATTAAAGAGTCCAGGGCAGCATTAGAGCACAAGTAAGTACACGTTAGTAAACCGTTTTTTGACATGCAGGAAGACTTTGTCATAAGTGGTCAGTCTATCCTGTGATGTCAGGCTGCATGCTTTGCTATTCGTGCGAAAAAAAGCTAACCAACTGAATACATCACAGTAAGGCCAATGTTGTCCAGAGTTTTGCTGGAACTTGTAATTGTTTGCATTTTTCTTCATCTTTGGATCTGATGCCTTTCAGGTGAAGTGTGTGTCTGTCCTGAGCAGCATTCACTGCTGTCATCATACCTGTCATACAAGATGCTGCAAATACAGCCTCAATGCAATGCAGGTGCAGTGTTAAAGCTGAACTCCAGACACTTTTATTTACCTCTATTCTGCAATAACCACAAAGGATGGAAATCCACTTTATGCACCAAATCCCTTTACAAACTGACATGTTACCTTGTAAATACAGCAGTGTCATTGTGCTGCACATAGCCTGTGCAGAGATCAGAGTTGTAGAGGGTATCCAGCAAACCCCACCCACTACCGGCTGTCTGCAGAAAACTACAGGAAGAGGGTGGAGACCAGACTAGTCCCTGCACAAGGATAGAGAGTGCCAGAGACTGGTCTTTATTACAGGTGATGTTTCATAGTGTATTGCTGCACAAATCCGGGTGTGTAAATCAAGATAGTCACTCCTAAACAAAGGGAGGTTGTCTCTTCATTGATGCTGTGCTTACTGCTCTAAAGCTAAACTATCAACCTGTTTCCTCTTCCGGCCCTTCTAGTCAACAATCCCAAAGATTTTGATTTGTCAATCCTTTTTTTTTTTACCCCAGGGTATTGCTTTAGCTACTAGAACACCTTGGTGTCTGCGTTCTTTATGATGGACCCTAATGAAAATGACCAAAAAGCAAGCGAAACGTTGATCCAGGAAGACCACTTGAGTGAAGAGGAGGTGGAATTTGTAGGTGTAAGTATTTCATATGGATATGTGCTCCCTGGTATCCACGTTCATCTTTTTCTACTGTTGTTTTGCGAGTGACAGAAAATGTACAACAACTTTTTAAACCAGATAGTTGGAAGAACCCGTGTGTGCTCTTGGGTCTCCTTTTTATGTGCTGGTGTTTGCGCTGCCACTGAAGTTCACACAGGAGCCAAAACTCTTGTTTCGGTCAACTTCTATTTTATTAAAATTAGAGGTGTGCACCAAAATGAAATTCCGAACCCCCTCCCCTCTAACAAAAAATGTCAAGTTGAAACCGAAGGGGAGGAGAGCTCGGTCTCCTGTGACAGATGATTCCTCCCCACACCACCAGCCTCCTCTGACAGCTGTGTCCGCCCCCACACTGCTCTCCATCCTGATTTGTCACGAGGCTGAGAGGTGCGGTAGGAGAGCTTAGCCACCTGTGACAGGCTCACAACACTCTCCTCCCCCCGCACCGCTCAGCTGTCTGACAGTTTCTCTCCTCCCCACTGGACGCTGTGCTCTGAGTGTGTGTCAGAGGGGACACAGAGCAGCGCCCAGCAGGGAGGAGAGAAACCAGGCATGCACCACAATTTCAGCCAAAAGATGGTACTTTCAGCGTTTTGGCCGAAAATGTCGGTGCTTACAGCTGCAAGAAAAGGGTTAGGAACTCCTTTGTTGGGATTTTTGCCCAAATTAAAGGAGAACTATGGGCTCAGTGTTTTTCCCCATAGTTCTCCTTAGGGTAACGGGAGGACACAAACTAGCGTCCTCCCGTTACCCTAAGCTCAGTATACCGCAAGCTACAGCACGCGGTATACTGAGACGCCGGAGCGGATCCCGACTTAGACGACGGGACCGTCCAGCTGCGTGAGTGACAGCTGTACCCTCCACCGTCCGTTCCGCCAGTCAGCGCTGGCAGATCGGAGCGGGGAGAGGGTAATCCAGCCCCTCCCCCTGTCACGGCAGAGAGCCGTGACAGGATCGAGAGGTGAGCAAACCCGGTATGTGTTCGCTCACCTCCCGATCTACTGAGCCGACCTGTGACAGTCTCATTGTCACAGGTTGGCTAGAACTATGAAGTGAGTGAAAAGCACTAATCTCATAGTTCTCCTTTTTAAGGATGTGGTCTGAGCTTCACCTAAAGCTAACTCATGTAACAATACATGCAGCATTTTGCATTGTAAAATCTTTGTTGAATGTTTTGTTCAGTGCCTTTTTTATCACAGGTTATTAAAGCCTCAATGCCCAGATTAAATTGAAGCGCTGTCAGTCAGGAAAAAAAAAAAAGCATGTTGTATTAGTCAAATAATGCAAAAACCATATGACTACATATAAAAAAAAAAATAAGAAGGGAATTTATCAAAACTGGAGCAGACAAAATCTAGAGCGGGTGCCCAAGGCATCCAATCAAAGTCTCTTCAGTTTGTTCAGTTAAGCTTTAAACATGAAAGATGCTGATTGGTTGCCGTGCACAACTGCTCCAGATTTTGTCTGCACCAGTTTTGAAAAATTCCCCAAATTATACCCAATTCCACCAGCTGTTACAGTGGTGGAAAATTCAGCAACCAATGGACATTGCATCCTAACATTGGGGTGGTATTTCAGCTCCTGAGGGGCAGATAATACAAGGGTACACAGTCCGTGTAACCATCGCACTCAGAGCCGCTGCTCCAAAAAAGGAGGGTGGGTGCAGCAGGTGTCAGCTAGTGGCTTCCGACAAAATATCAGTAAATGATGGACACCGGCAAATGCCTGATGAAGGTGATCCTGTGAGACCCCGAAATGTTGTTTAGAGTGTTCTACTTGCAACTAGTATACTAATAAACATGTACTGAACTTGCTTTGGAGTGCCGGTGTCCATCCTTTACAGATAATACAATGGAGCACATCTATCCTTTGAAAGGTTAGGTGTACAGGAGTGAGTTTGGAGTGGCGACTAGTTTACAACACACACAGGGACCATGAGGAACAAAAGTAGCCGCCCTCCAGAAGGAAGGAAAGTGTCAGCATGAATACAGAGATGATTTGCGGATCTACAGCCAAGTGATACACAAAGTACAATTTTGGTAATGGTTAAGGTACTTGAATGCATCTTTAAAATGTAATTTCTGAGTTTAGTGTCAATTTAAGGTGCCTGCAGATATCTTCACTTTCTTTCCAAAGCATCCTAGAACCTTGGATGCTGGAGGTGCCCTGATATTCAAATAAATGGTGTTCCAGAAGTCATTCTTGGCTTTGATGCCACCCAATGTGGCTTAATATCTGCACAGTTACAGGAACTGAAGTCATTATTTGCATATTATAGCACCCTGGGCTTTAAGCTGCTCCAGAATTTCTGACATATTAGGGGGGAATTTATCAAAACTCAAGCATGGCAGACAGTCTTTCATTTTCAAAGCTTGACTGAGCAGAGAAGCTCCAGATTCTGTCTGCTTCGATTTTGATAAGCTCACCCCACTGTAAACGCAGGCATATTGCACATTGGGGTAAAAACTAAAACATTTTGAAGCAGTTTACTTCTGCTTTAAACAAGTATTCAATGCTCTCTAGTACTTATTGACGCGTGCTGAAAGCTTTGTAAATGTTTGGCAAATGTTCAGTGTAAACGCTGCTCTTCACCTAGAATTCAGCCTCTAAATGCTAGTATAAACACATCCTGAAGTTTACATCCACAAGAGGGCATTAAGAGGGTTTATTAGATGGCTGGCGGTTATTGCTAATCTTTGATAGTTAAGTCCTCTAAACATTTGTGGACTTTTTTTTTCCAAATTTAGAAACCTCTCTTCTAAAAATCACCATCCCATAGGCATTGCAATAGAATAATCTAGGAAGTATTTGTGTCTTTTTAGTGTCATTCATTTTATTTTAGCGAGTTGATTTAGAGGTGCATAATCTTTCGGCAAATTTAATTTAAAAATTATTACTGCAAAATGTTCAAGATAAACGTTACCCCCCTGGAATTCTTAAAGATGTCATTATGGGGAGAGTGAAATACGCTCATCCCCATAATTAGAGCCGCCGTGTGACACTCTGCTCTATGGATCGAGAGCTGAGCGATTTACATACCGCCAATCATCTCCCTGCAGAGACTGTCAGTCGCCGCTCCCTGCAGGGATTGCCCAATCCCCACTTTGTTCCTGCAGCGCTGACTGGAGAGACGGATGGGCAAAGCTCAATCAGGTAGCGGGGTGGACCCCGACAATATATTTGAGATCCGTCTTGGCTGTAGTGCAGTTCTGCACTGTCGGCATATAGCAGGCCCGCTATATGATGAGTTTTTGATCACAGGAGGACATTTTAGTATATGTCCTCCTGTGACCCTGAAGAGAACTATGGCAAAAACAAGTTTGGGCCATAGCTCTCTTTTTAAGGCATCAGCAAAATTGTGCCTATATTCCCAGGCATGCGCTGGGTCCACTGTCTTTTTTTTTCCCATGTATGCAAACTACCTCCCCTCATATGCCCCATACGTGTGGGTATATGGGTATATTGGACTAAGTCACACATGTGCAATGTTGCTAGCAGTGTGATGGGAGTCCTCCAGCCATGTGTCCTTCTCTGCATAATTTGCCTACAAACGTCAGGTGGTCATGGTGCGGTTCGGCCGCATCTGGAGTATGCGGTCCAGTTTTGTCACCAATACTCAGAAAAGATGTCCTTGAGCCAGAAAAAGTCCAGAGGAGGGCAACAAAACTCATTAAGGGGTTCGAGGACCTAAACAATGAAACAAGGCTGCTAAAATTAAATATGTTCTCGTTGGAGGTTAGGAGACTAAGGGGGGACTTGATATTCTTGTATAAACTGTGCAATGGTGACAGCAACATTGTTAACAAACTGTTCACGGTTAGCTCCGTAACAAAGACCAGAGGGCACCAACAAAAATTGGTGGAAAAAAAATTTCACCACAGAGGGCGCAAAGGGTTCTTCACAGTTAGAGTGGTTAAGGTCTGGAACTCGCTGCCGCAGGAAGTGATTTCAGCTAAGAGTGTGGAAGCATTAAAGAAACTCCTGGACGAGTTCCTTGGAGACCGCAACATACAGGGGTACAGGTACGCCTAAGAACAAGATCACACATGGACTCATGCACACGCACACACCTGCTCAAACATAAATGCATACACACAATAGGTTGGACTTGATGGACTTACATCTTTATTTAACCTCAAATACTATGTAACTATGTCATAATAATCTGGCCACTCAGATATCTATCTATATATAGATACAATATCTATATATAATATACGTTCTAATAAACTTGGGTGTATATAATGTGCCAAAAATATGAAATATAAATACTTTTTCATAAAGTGTATTCTTTATCTAACAGTGAACCTTATTTTGATATACAGGAGGGGCCTTCAAGACCTGTCTTGGACTGTATTGACCTGGTTAGCGATGATGAGTCACAGACTTTGTACCATTATGTAAGTTTGTCGATGAAGTCTATATCATTGTGTAAAGGTGCCCACACACCTTGCGATTGTACGATTATCGTAATGTGTGTGGAAGGCATGCGACATCTACTACTGTTAGGTCGCACGACTTTTATCTTGGAAACATGTTCGAAAACCAGCCGAACATCGTACGATTTTCGGCTGGTTTGTGGCATGTTCGCAAGATAAAAGCCGCACGGGCCGGTTGTGTGCAAGCGCACACTGCCCGTTTGGCATTGCGGTTATCGGAAGACCGCCCCTCAGCGGGGCGGGCTTGCGATCATCGCAAGTACGATCTGCCTGTCCAAGATGGGCAGATCGTAAGTTTTTTAAAAAAATTATCTTGCAACCATCGCAGGACAAAAGTCTTGCGATGGTTGTAAGGTGTGTGCCCAGCATTAGCTGGGGTACTCGTTATAGGAAAATGATGCTAGGAGCTGATGCGGCTCTACTAATGCTCAAAAGAAAACTCCTCCTCCTACTGTTTTATAGTTGGTGCCCTATATCATTTTCATACTGATATTTTTATTTTATTTTTTTCTTTAGGGAAAATCTAAAGATCATGTAACTGCAACCCTTGATCGTCTTGCACGCGATATTGAGGTGCAGAAACGGAAGCGAGCAGCGAAAACCAAAGCATTTCAGGTGAGGCAGAAGAAAACAAGCATGTCAAAAAAGCAATTGGGTGTGTTAAAGTTGCAGCTGATAAAATGCAGAAGGAGTTCATCTTATTTGCAGGGCGGACAAGTGATCCACCAGATAGTATCTAACTGCTGCAAAAGCCCACATGATTTGAAGTATATGTGAACTCTAATAGTGAATTCATTTCAATGTTGGATGTATGTACAAACTGCAGTGATTCAGACTCCCTTTAGTAATTTAGAGTTGTTTTTTCCCCTTCAATATGCAGGACAAGTTAAACCTCCAGCGTGCACATGGGTTGCAGGCGTTGGCTCTTAACAAGGATCGTCCTGGTGCTAGTGCTGCAAAGATTTGTGTAAATCAATGGCTACAAATGCCTGGTGAGTAACAAATTTGGTTTCAGGTATTATGCATGTAAAAGTCAGTACGCAAAGATTATCAAATGGGTGTGTGCTCCTGGCTGGAATTAACATTTAAAGGAGAACTATGAGGTGAGTGCTTTTCACTCTCCTCATAGTTCTAGCCGACCTGTGACAATGAGACTCACAGGTCGGCTCAGTAGATCGGGAAGTGAGCGAACACATACCGGCGTTCGCTCCCCTCTCGATCCTGTCACGGCTCTCTGCCGTGACAGGGGAGGGGCTGGATTTCCCTCTCCCCGCTCCGATCTGCCAGCACTGACTGGCGTAACGGACGGGGGGGTGCGGGTACAGGTGGCTCTGCCTCTAGATAGGCGGAGCCAGCTGTCACACATGCAGCTGGGAGGATCCAGACATAATTGTCGGGATCCCCTTCAGCTGCGGCATCTCAGTATACCTCCGCTCTCCTCCCCGTCTCTGAATGCAGGAAGTGATGTATGTTACATCACTTCCGCATTCCTCTGTCACTCTCCTGTACAGAAACCGGAGAGAAGTTGATGAAGCACATCTGTGCTTCATCAGCTTCTCTGGGGGGTCCCTAGGTGACGGGTCTTAGAGACCCCTGATGTCTCCATAAAGGGGACCTGTCACTGTAATTTATTACATAGGGGACTTCTTAGCACCCTATGTGATAACAATAACGTTAAGTGTAAAAAAAAAAAGTTAAAAAAAATTGCTCACAAAATAAATAAAATTTACACACACAAATAAAAAAAAAACACAAAAGTTTAAGTTCCCCCCCCCACATAGATGCGCAAAAATGGGTTCGGTGTGCCTACACGCAAAAACGATGGTCGCACATGTTACATATCGTCGCAGTGAGAGCAATCATTTTAGGGCCATCAATCACTGATAACAGTAAAGTGATGAGCGCTAAAATCTTTTTAAAGCAACGCCTATGGCCAATTTTGGCTAGGATATTTTTTTGCGATCTCGCGGGCGTGCGCAATTTTAAGGCTTGACATGTTTGGTGTCTATTTACCCGATGTAACCCCGCCTTTTTATATTTTACCAAAAAATTGGGTAATAAATGTCTTCTAAAATAATAAACCGTTTGTTTTTGTTTTTTTTTATATATATATACGCTACTTTTTCATTATATAGTAAAAAATAAAACAACCCCAGTGGTGATTAAATGCCACCAAGAGAAAGCTCTATCTGTCCCCAAAAAATGGTATAAATGCATTTCAGTACAGCGTTGCATGACGCTATAAATGTCAGTAGAAGTACCGCAGCGCTGAATACTGAAAAATGGCCTGGCCAGGAAGGGGGTGTAAACACCCCGGTCAGCAAGTGGTTATACAGACTCAGCCAGGACTATGTTTAAATTTGTAAAGCCGGCGGAACGCTTTATAGAAGAAGCAATTCTAGCGACTACTGCCGCCAGATCGCTTCTACGGGCCTGTAAAGTGATCATCATACTGCTTTTTGTGCAGCTCCTCTCTCAAGGGGTCCTAGAGAAGGCAGGTGTTATGTTTTACTGTGTTCTCATGTGGGTTGTGGGAAGTTGTTATGGTTTCCCTGGTTACAGGCACTGCGCATGTTGCTGCAGAAAGGGGGCGTGGCATACAGCATGCTGGCAGTTAAACTGTGACCTGGGAGAGTTGGGGTGTGTGACTGGAAGCAGAGGACAGAAGATGGAGCCCCGAGGTGCTGCCACACTAAATGTAAGGACACTACTCTAAGGCCCCATTCACACTTGGCGATTCGCATTTTGTGTCGCACGATTTGCATTTTGCGCGATATCGCGCAAATGCTTGCATCAAAAACTATTGAATCGCGGCAAAATCCGCTCCAAAAAGGGTCCTGCTGTAGCGACCCGCGACAGCAGGACCCTTTGCCCCATTGCAAAGCATTGAAGAGCGATATCGCGTGGTAAATAGCCGCGATATTGCGGGAATTACCACGCGATAAATCGCTCAATGTGAACGGGGCCTAATAAATACCCAGACAGGGACCTGCAGTGTTATATGGCATACAGTATATACCGAATTAATCTGGCCATTTATGTAGATATTGGCAATCTGTTTTTCTGCCAAGCTAAGTAAATAAGAGTCTGCTCATTACCACTCCGTCTGGAGTTCTTCATTAAAAGGACCAATAAGAGGGGAAACACTACAGAAAGGTTCCAGGGTTTCTATTTAACCCCTTAAGGGCCAATGTCGGAATGATTCCGTCCTGGTTGTCCATGCCATAAGAACCCCTGATGGTATAATTCTGTCATGGGTCCTTAAGGGTTGAAGCTTCCATCATGTGCTAACTTGTATAGGCGTATGTAACATCAAATTTAAAGCCCTTTTTGTCCTAAAAATGGTATATAATATGTGTTGGTACAATAAATAAGAGAGATGAAAAATGCAGTTGAACACATAGCAAAAATTGCTTTGGTCCTTAAATGAAATACAAGCATCTGAAGCTTGGTCCTCAAGGGGTTAACCCTTTCGCTGCCACCAATGTAAGGATTGCGACAGTGGCAGCGGGCCCGTTTCAACAGACTCTGGCTGAAGGCTTTACAATGGAAACGATTCTGGTGGCTCAGATGCCGCCAGATCGCTTCCACGGGCCAGTAAAGATCCCATCCGACACCCCTGCCTTGTTTCCCGGCCTCCGCTGCCCTTCCTGCGGGCCCGGGACCGGTATGTCTGGTACCAGCGGAAAGCTGGGGAGAAAAGCAGTGAAGTTCCGTTCACTGATGTCCCTGTTCTATAGGCCCGGGAGAGATGCACATTATATTACTTCCGGTCCCATAGCTGTCATAGCTCCTGAAACTCAGCAATACGCTATTGAAGTGCATTCTCCTCCTCCCTTCTTTCATACTTTTATTCAGGGAGTTACATGTATGACTCTTCCTGTTAGATCTCTTCTTCCTCTGTGGGACCTTGAACTTCTATTTATTCATCTGTTCTAAAAAAAAAACCCTCCTTTTTGAACACATGTGATACCCTTCCCCTTTTTTTTTTTTTAAATGCCCAGTACCTTTTTTGTCTTCCTTCCTTTACGTTCAGAACAAAATCCTATTTCTAAAACCTGATGTAGGGGTTAGTCCTTTCCCACTCTATCCATGAACATTTCAATAATTTTTGGCTGGATTCACATTTTAGGATCATTTGAGAGTCGGGGAGCCATGTTGTGTCCATCCTGAATTTTTAGTTAGACCTTTTTAGTTAGACCTTCACTACGGGAAGTTTTTTCACTTGTCAAATTTTGTTGTCTAGGGTAAAAGATGTGCGTGAACTAATTTTTTTTTATTTTTTATTTTTCCAGGTCTCAAGTCCGGTTATGTGAGTTCCAACCGTAGAACTTTCGTCCAGCCAAAGGACGTAGTTCCCATAAACACGGAACCAATTACTTGTCCTGTTATGCGCTGCAATAGAAATTTTGACAACCGCCCTTTGCTGTTTGGTCATCTAAAAAGGTAAGTTAAATGCTTTTCAAAATATAGACTAGATTTGGGTGTGACCTGCATTAAATTATCTTGGATACAATGTTTATTTGATTCCACCTCACATCTAAAGCATACCACAAACAAGCTTCTGTCTCTTCTTACCTCTAAATATGGGATATTTGAGTTAGAAGTGATAAAAAAAATTGCCTTCTGAGTTTCTCCTACCCAATGCATCCAGTAGGTGAGTATGCATGGTTCCTTGCAGTGCAGCATTTAGTTTCTGCATCTTCTGTTGCGTAACACTGTAATGAATCCACTGAACTTCTACTGATTTTGCTGTCAAAATCCCCACACACACACACACACACACACACACACACACACACACACACATTGAAATCAATAAGGCCACGCAGCAAATGTGCGTTCCCAGGATGCCAGGTGTGAACCAGGCCTGAGAGTGGCAGGCTTTTACATTTTTCTTTTTTTCACCTTGTGTCCATTTCTGCTGGAGGCAGCGGCATAACCCTACGTCTCAGTTTTCTTAAGAGCTGTGGCCCTCGATGGATTCCGAGAAAAGGGTTTTATGGTAAGGACAGAGACTTATTTTTGCAGATGCTAAAAGGTGACCGTTATCCATCAACTGCTGCCCAATCAAAGTGGTTATATAAACAAAATGATAACTAAGATAAAATTATAAAAATGAAAACTAAACTGCTCTAGGCAAAGAAAATTAATATTTCTTTTTTTTGTTTTTAGGTTTGACCACTCCCCATGTGATCCAACTATTTTCCTACATGGAGTGTGTGATACCTCATATGTGTGCCTTGTGTGTCAGCATCGATTTGCAACTACAAGAGAATACACAGCCCATTTGGCTGCTAAGGTAAGAGAAAAATCAAGACCATGAGTGTTAAAGGGGCATGCAATCTCCTTTTCTATAATTCCACTAAATAAATGCTTGTTCACAGTCCATGACTGGTTGGCCCCCACTGATGGTAGTGCTTGTATGGCAACCAAAGATGCTATAGTTACTTCCTAGAAATCTTTGAGAAATGTTGTGTTTGCTATGATATCTACTACTGTAAGGCTACTTAGTTATGTAATGAAGACCTTCTATCATGAGGACTGGTCCAGGTCTCCTAACTCACCACTTTGGGGTAATCCCACTTTTCGAGAACTATTTAAAGGAGAACTATGGGGTAAGTGTTTTTCCCCATAAACTAGCGCCCTCCCGTGACCCAAAGCTCGCGGTATACTGAGATCGCCGCAGCCGGGATGGATCCCGACATTACTGTTGAGATCCGCCCAGCTGCGTGATTGACAGTTGGTCTTGCCTATCTAGAGGCAGTGCCAGCTGTACCCTCCCCTGTTCGTTCCTCCTGTCAGCGCAGAGGGGAGGGGGGGGAATCCCCTGCAGGGAGCCGTGAATGACGGTCAAGGCTCTCTGCAGGGACAGGATCAAGAAGTGAGCGAGCAACGGTATGTGTTCGCTCATTTCGCGACCAATTGAGCTGACCTGTGACGATTTCATTGTCACACGTCGGCTCGAACTATGAGGTTGGGTGAAGTTATTCACCTCATAGTTCTCTTTTAATTTTACCTACTGCTTTGTTTTGGCCCCCTTTGGGTGCTATGTTTCTGGACAGTTTATTTAAAGGTAACTTTTTCTCAACACTGTGAGGCGTTTGGATTGTCTCCTGACGATTAGATAGCTTACCACTTGCTGCTTCGTGGTCCATGCTCACTTTTGGAATTATAACGTTAACTCCTCCTCAGCCAATTCTGGAGAGATTCCTTCATAGGGATGGTTCATCTAAAGCTGGGTGGACAACTCCAGCCCTTCTACTGTGCTTTAACTAAAAATCCCAACATGCTTCTGGGAGTTGTGCCTGTAACTGTCAGTCCTGCGATGACTTATGGGAGTTGTAATTCCACAACAGCTGGAGTTCCCCACCCCAGTTTAGATAAACCTTCCCTACAAAGAAGTCTAAACTGATCTCCACCTATTGTGCGGAGCTTAGTTGTAATAAGGCCATCCAATTTTAGAAAATTAAACAAAAATGGCAAGAAACATGCATGGGGCCACTTTTAGTATGCACTTATTATTCAGGATTTATATAGCGCCAACAGTTTGCGCAGCGCTTTACAATATAAGGAAGACATTACAATCACAATACAAGACCAGATGGTAAGGAGGGCCCTGCCCCTGAGGGCTTACAATCTAAAAGGGAGGAATCTAAAAGAGCATGGGAGGAGTTGACAAGGGAGCTGGAAAGCAGGAGGTCTTTGGAACAGCGGAGGGGGCGGTTGGGGTAATACTTTTGAGACACATCAATATACCTGAAATGTGTTCAAGGAAGAGGTAAGGTTTCCCCAGTCATCTTCCAGGACAGCCAATGAGACAAGGCTCCGCCTGCCTGCAACAGGAAACACATCAACCACATTTAAATAAATAGACCCCTCCTTCCATCCCAATTCAGTTTTTTTTTTGTGTGTTTCCTCCGGCTAAACTGGTCAAATCGTAATGTTTGTTATTTTCAGTGCTCGTTTTCAATTTGCCTCAGGGCAGAGCCTAACCCTGATATGCGTTGGGACCTACTCCAGGATCTCCTGCTGCAGCGCATACAGGGATCCCTTATCGGACCCCCACTAGGCCAAGGTTCCCCTCTGTCATTCAGGGAGGGCAACCATCCTCCTGTGCGTGAGTGGCTCCAGATGGTGACCCCCTCCCCCCGGTGTGCAGTAGTGGCAAGGGTGTTACCCTGAGCGGTGTGTTTGCATTGTAGGGGGCATGCTCCAGCAATGGGTGCAGTGTGGTAGGCACTTACCAGTTGGGAGCACTCTGAGTCGCTGTTCCAGAGGGCCATGCCTGATCCGTACGGTGAGCCGCATGGTGGCTTGCGCGGGAGAGTGGCGGCGTCTTCAGGCTGTTCCAAGGTTGTGATGTTTCACATCATCAGCTGGGAGCACCGATGCGCCGCCTGAGCTTGGCGCGTCATCGAGTACGGCGCGGAACGGTGACGCGCTTCCGGTGCGCCATTTCCGGGTTCCGGAACACAGCGCGTGCTGGGCAGTGTAAAGGCGCCTGGGGACGGAGACAGTCGGCATGTGAGGCAGTTGACATACCTCGCATAACGAACGCCGCTCGGCCACGACTACTGCGGTTGCAGACCTCTCGGGCTGACTGGGACCACATACGGTCAGTGGGGATGTCAGGAGCGGGCCAAAAGCGCGGTCGGCAGTGAGCTGCAATATGCCCACGGAGGCCGGACCAGGTGTTGCCCCCCCAGATCTGGGAGAGCATGGCACTGGCGCTAAGGTAGGCAAGTTTTATTGGTAATTCTACTCTATCTTTACTCAGCTTGTGTTGGGGGCCTGTGGTACAGGACAAGCTGGGGTGTGATGTTTCTCAAACATTGTTTGCATGTTGGGTAGAGCACTGGTTGACGGCATCCTTCTTGTCTTACGCAGGTCAAGGCCTCGGAGGATAAGCCCCTTGCTGAAGCTAGTGGCTCTCGCCCAAAAGAGTAGAAGTGTGCCTCTTGCAACGCCAAAATGTCACCTTCATGGCTGTTATACAAAGGCTGTTTAGAGAAGGTGGTGGCCAAAGAATCGGCTGGGGTGTTCAAGGGTCTGATAGAATCTATGACAGATGAAATGGTTACCACTTTTCAATCTTTCCGGTCTGTGTTACAGAACCCAGTGGGATCACTGGTAGATACCAGTTTACCCGGTACATCGGGGGAAGGTAGTTCGATGGGCTATGCAGAAAGCTGCATGAGCAATCGCGCACCCAGTGAATCCTCGGGCTCTCAGGTAGAGTCGGAGGATCAGGATGAGTCGGAGGGGGAATTACATAGCAGCAGAGCTGCGAAATTCCTTTTTCCCTCATTTGAAACAGGTGAGCTGTTGCAAGCCATATGGGATACTTTGGGTATTAAAGAAGAATCCGCTGAGCTGTCAGTTCATGATAAACTTTACAAAGGGCTTCAAACAAAGAAAGGGCGTACCTTCCCGGTCCACAAATCACTCTCGGACTTGATCCAAGAGGAGTGGAAGCACCCAGAGAAAAGAATGTTTTTCTCGGCGGGTCACAAGCGCAGGTTTCCATTTGCAGAAGAGAATTCGGGACTTTGGGACAAATGCCCGAAAATAGATGCCTCCTTAGCAAAGGTCTCTAAAAAGACTGATTTATCATTTGAAGATATGGGAGCGTTGAAGGACCCAATGGACAGGAAGGAGGAGGCTTTGCTCAGAAAGGGATGGGAATCAGCAAGTGCTGGCTTCAAACCTGGATTGGCCATTACTTGTGTGGCTAGGACGTTAGGGGTGTGGCTGAATCAGCTACAAGTACACCTGGAGTCTGGTACTGATCGTGATCAGTTGCTGGGTTCCCTACCCGTGCTAAGCAAGGCAGCCGCATACATTGCGGACGCCTCAGCTGAGGCGGTTAGGTACTCTGCTCGAACTACGGCCTTGATCAACTCCTCCAGGAGACCTTTGTGGCTCGAAACTTGGTCAGGAGATGCATCCTCCAAGGCAAAGTTATGCGAGCTCCCTTTCAAAGGTGACTTGCTGTTTGGCCAGGAGTTGGGAGGCGGTGTTGGATAGATCCGCAGACAAGAAGAAGGGTTTCCCACTGCCGCCCAAGCAGCAAGGGAAAAAGTTTTTTCGTGGCCAAAAGGGTCAAACTTTCCGTAAAGACAAGAGGGTATTTTTTGGGAAGAAACAAGACCAATCCAAAGGGTTGGCTTTTAAAAAGGGGAAGTCTAAGAGTAATTTCCTCTTTAACCCCCCGCAGCAGCCCAACAAATCCCAACGACCGACTGCTCAGGGTGGGAGGAAGACTGGGGGAGTTCTTCCCGCTCTGGAGGCAACTGACCAGCAACAGATACATATTGGAACTGGTTCAGATCGGTTACAAAATAGAGCTGACGGACCCGCCCCCGTCAAGGCTTCTGATTACTTCACTGTCAAAGGACCGGAAGAAAGCAGAGGCAATGACAGCGGCATTGCAAGATCTGCTGGACCAGGGGGTTATAGTGCGGGTACCCGTGTTGGAGGAGAAGAGGGGATTTTACTCCCACATCTTTTCCAGGATGAAGCCCTCAGGGAAGTGCAGACTGATACTCAATCTGCAGCCTCTGAACAAGGTGGTACTGTACAAAAGATTCCGCATGGAATCGATATTTTCAATACGGAAGTTGCTGCCCCCAGGTTCTTTTCTAGCGACTATAGATCTGAGAGACGCCTATTTTCATATTGCAGTAAGAGTCGTCACAATACCTACTAAGGTTTGCAGTCCGGGGGCCTGCGGGAGTCCTGCACTTTCAATACAGGGCCCTGCCGTTCGCCCTTTCCTCTTCGCCTCGAATCTTTACCAAAGTGTTGGCAGAGACGCTGGCCCCCCTGAGATCTCGGGGGGTAGGGGTCATTCCTTATTTGGACGACCTCCTTGTTTTTCGCCCCATCAGAAATTGTACTGCAGCAAAAGCTGGAGTTAGCGATCCAACACTTGGAGAGTCTGGGTTGGTTGGTGAACAGGGAAAAGTCACAACTGGTCCCCGCACAGAAGGTAACATTTTTGGGTTATTGGATCAATACCCAGGAAATGACCGTTACTTTACCAGGGGAAAAAGTGTCTATGCTGGTGGAGGAAACTTGAGGCTGAAGCTGCAGGGCGCAGTATCAGTCAGGTCAGTGATGAGAGTGGTGGGGCTTATGACGTCCGCCATCCCAGCAGTTACCTGGGCGCAGTTCCACTCAAGAATCTTACAGAATTGGCTATTGAGGGCCTGGAGAAGTCGACAAGAAGACCTAGACAAAATGGTCCACATCACGGAGGAGACCAAGCAATCCCTCCTGTGGTGGATGGACTGTCGAAACGTCTCAGTGGGCAGGCTGTGGTGCCAGCCTGCGCCGTTAATAGTGACGACGGATGCCTGGGGATGGGGAGCCCATTGCCTGGAGCACATTTGGCAGGATACCTGGGAGCACACAGGCAGAGCCAAGTCATCAAACTGGAGAGAGCTGAAGGCGATAGGGCTAGCTCTATGCCAGTTTTGAGAGGTCTTAGCAGGCCACCATGTAGCGGTGGCCTCGGACAATGCCGCGGCGGTAGCTTATATAAACAAGCAGGGGGGCACGCGCTCACATGGGCTAATGGCATTGGCGACGGAAATTCTGTCATGGGCAGAACGAAACCTCCTAACCCTGACGGCGAGACATATCAAAGGCAGCCTGAACGAGCTGGCAGACTCACTCAGCCGAACGGAGCTTCACAGATCCGAATGGGCTCTGAACGCGAGAACGTTTGCCTGGATTACCAGCTTGTGGGGCTGCCCGGAGGTGGACATCTTCGCAGCCTCCAACAACAGGCAGGTAGAACAATTTTTTTCCCTCTCCAGGAACGACGGGGCTCTGGGGGTAGACGCTATGTATCTTGCTTTTCATACCTAATTTTGCCAGAAATGTGATTAAGTCTGAGGTGGTGTGCTGGAAGTCTCTCGCTCTCTCGATCTCGACCCTGAATATGCACTTCTGTTAAGCTGAATTTGTTTTCAAAAAATGAATAAAGTTTTCTATCAAGAGCATATTTCCCATAAGATTATGTGCATTAAATGTATTTTAAGCGTTCTCACCAATCTGTGGAACAACCTGAGCCTATCAGTCGCTAGGCACGTTTTGGTGTACTGAGTTTTCTGTTTACCACTTAGCTGTGATGTATGTTTGTGCATTTTTAAATCTCTTGGTGGTGGTCTCACTTTAGTTAGACTCATGCAAGTGTATGTTTACGTCTAGTTACTTCATCTCATTTATCACCTGTACTTACATGGACTTTCTTTGTTTTCTCTTAGGTAAAGTTGGCTGATGGTCATAGTCAAACTCTTTCTCCATTAGATGTCCAGTGCTTTGCTTGTCCTAGCTGTTTCCTTCTTTTTAACAAAAGAGATGATTGTCTGAAGCACATGTCAGCGAGTAATCACTTTGTGCGAGGCATCAAACTTAATGGTATGTTTTAACATTTTGTTGAATGTTTGGGGTATTTTAGCTCTTCTTTTCTTTGCTTAGTTTCAATATATGGTATACAATGTTGCTGAACTACATACTCTCCATAGTTATTTGGACCTCCATCTTGGAGAATTGTGGGGCAGTAGTCATATTGTACTAAAACCAATTGTATGTACAGTACAATGAAAAAAAAGAAACCTATAGGAGGCAATAATACATATTTCGGCTCCATTCACACTAGGGCAGATGTGTTTCAGTGCAAATTTTAAAAGGGCGGTTTTATTTGCGTTTCAGCACGTTTCCACTCAAATCTGTATGGAATCTGCGCTGATCAGGGCGCAAAAAAGGCTCGGGAGCATTTCGGGCGGCAGACGGTTCGGATCACGCGGAGCCGCGAGAACGCATGAATGGTCCCTATAGGAATGTATGTGAACATTCATGTTGGCGGTTCAGCACGGACAAATCTGCGCAATCTAACTGCCCTGATCTGAAAAGGGCATTAAAGTTGTCGGTACTTCATGAACCATAAAGTCTTGTATCTTACTCAATCAGTCACATGCCTATCAGTCAATGGCTTTTTAAAATACAAGTTGTCTGGCTGTCACTCTTTCTGATTCTCAACTGTTTTCCATACTTTGGCAAACTTGTGCCAAGTAAATCGATTGGGTGCAATGGCTTTGCTGGCGGGATGCTTGTTCTGAGTCAAAGACTAAAGATGGCCATACACCTATAGATTATCTGCAGATTTTCTATGGTCAGATGGAAAAAGTGCAACAGATTCCTCCATCTACGCTAAACTGTGCGGATGGAGGAATCTTCCCCCTGGGCCATGCTTCAGTATCTTGCTAGTCGGCCCTGCTGGCTCTCACAGTTTGGCGATAGCCCAACCTAAGAAAAATCACTACAAGCCCTTGCTAGAGCAAGGAAGTACAGCAGGAGGTGGAATGCTTCTGGAATATGAATTAAATGATTTGCATGGCATACAAGGTGTGCTTGAATGAGGAGGAACGAGAAGGTGTGTCTGCTTGAAACCGGTGAAGGTAATCGTGCATGGAGTTGGAGTTAAAAAAAAATGTAAAAGCTGCATCAAAAACAAACCTCTTTACTATAATACAAATTCATTCATAGAATTGTATGTTCTCCCTCGTTTCTCTCCTCTTTTTCACCGCAGACACTTTGCATCTCAGAAGTTCAAAACAGAGAAGCCTAGTGTTTGATTTCAGCCAATCCTATCCTAAGTAGCAGATTTGCTAGCAACAAGCCACAGGCATTGTACTGCACTACTGAGCAGAAGGCACAGCCTACAAATACTATGTATAAAATGCATGGATAAAATTGCTTTCTAGAACCATTAACCTTTGTCCCCAGATAATGTCCAGTATATTCCAGCAGGACAAACTCAGATATTTTTAAACCCTAACCAGAAACATTTCTTATCTGCTCCCTTTTTAGTCTGCTAAATATACTCTGGAATATTTTTCCTTAGGCATGTTTCATAACTATAAATATACCTGTTGTTTTTGCCAGAAATCTTGTGCGGTGATGATTTCCTGTGCTCTGCCTGAGCATGAGGAATGGTTATGGAGATGGGGAGGGGGTGATGATGAGGAGAGGTCTCTGTGTTCTTTGTAAGCCATCAGAAATGAAGTAGGCAGGGCTGACACTATCTGCTTAAGATTTCCGAGCTGTTGTCATGTCATAGGAAGGTAGGAGCACACTATTTCTGGCACATCAAGTATTAGGGAGATGTACTACATTTTGGTTTGGTTCTATATTTTGCTTTGACATAACACTTTACTTTCACTTTTTTCTAAGCACTTTCACTTTACTGCGATGCGAAATATTCATTGAACTATTTGGGGCCCTCTGTACATCACCCTGTATTTGTCATCATATCCTGTTGCTCTGCAGCATCATACACCATCTTAAGGACAGCGCAATAATCTCACTGCATACTCATTCATAACATCATTCATACAAGTACAGCTGCAACCATACAGAGCATACTCTGCTTACCATCTTAAGGCTTAATTGATTTTGTCATCAGTCTTTACCATTGGCGCCCTATGTATAATTGCCACTATTCATCTACTCCTGTTTTAATATTATAGGAGCCAAATTCATGCCTGTTGTGAACCCCATAGTAGTATGTCTCAGCCGTCAGGAACTGCACAGAACATCAGTTCTGTGTTGGAGGGCAGGTTCCATAGAGGGAACCTGTCTCCTCCTATCACATAGGAGTTTTTAAGCCCTATGTGATACGAATACAATTAAGTGGGAGAAAAAATAATACATAAAAAAAAAAGTTTAAAGAAAAAAATAATAAATTGTATAAAAAAAAAAAATGTAAAACCAACCCCACTGCCACCGTCATCTGCATGCAAATAAATGCATGCATTAGGACATTGTGTGTGTGTGTGCGTTGAGTGCTGCCGCCTTTCCACTGTGTGCCATATTCACTCTTTGTCAGTTTTGATTAGGGATGCACCAATACAGAATATTTGGGCAAGTACCTGTACTCGCCCAAATGCTCTGATACCTTTGCCAATACTGGAACTTCTGGTCAGCGGAAGATTTCTTCTGACCGGCAGTGCCTTAGGGGAACATGGAGCCAGCTTCCCATGCAATCAAGAAGCGGGGCGGCAACTAATGACCCACCCCGGTTTTCTGATTGGCTGGGAAGCAGGCTTCCCGGCCATTCAGGCCATTATTCACCGCCCGGTTTCCTGATTGGCTGGCTCGATGCTGATTTGGCTGGGAAGCCGGTTTCCTGTCCAATCACGATCAAACCGGCCAAACAACATGGAGTTGGCTTCCCTGGCAATCAGGAAGCTGGGTAGCATGTAATTACCTGCTGCCCAGCTTCCTGATGGCATGGAGCAGGCTTCCCGGGCAAACTGAATCATTGCTCGTGCTCGATACCCAAAAAGCTATATCGGTGCATCTCTAGTTTTGATTTGGGACAAGTAGATTGTCATGAGGGAAAAGTAGATCCGGCCCCCGCTTTAGCCCTTGGACAAGTAGTTTTTTTAAAAATTCCACACCCATGGTGTGTAATTATTGTTCATTGAGAGACGCACCCCCTGATCCATAAATTAACCAATTTGTAATATCAACAAGAGTAGTTGGTCAAAACAAAAGCAATTAAAGGGGGCAGCTTTTTTTTTTTTTGTGGCTTAATCTCACAATTTGAAGATACATTTTGATTGTTACCTAGTGTCCAAGGAGTAAGGACCTGGAATTAATCTGGAGAGGGATTATTATTATTTTTTTGTTGTGTGGATAGATCTAGAGAGATCCTGTATATTCTACTTTTCTATTCTACTATTTTATACATATTATTTGATTTTTTTTTTTTCTCTCTCTCCACCCCAACCCTTACCCATGCAGCCATGGAGCAGCAAATTGCTACTGATAGTGGCAGTGAACTGTTGCTTCATGGAGGCACTGGACAATAACAGCTGGGTCCCAGCCTCCGAACATGTGATGTGACATCACTATACTCCTGATGTAGGCAGAATTCAGCAAACTTTTTTTTAACTCCCTGGGCTTCGTTCTGGATCGCAGTTGTTGGAAACTGCTGGTGGTGCCACTGAGTGGCTAATGTTTTAAAATAGTGCTGGGACAAATGGCTAATATCACAGCACTGTTTTAAAGTGGCAGCTGGGACTCAAGTGGTTAATGCAGCAAAGAAGCAGCCTCTGACATACTGTAATGTTTTTTTAAGTCTAAATAATTCTGGGCTACCCCCCTACTGCAATGTTTTAAGTGCTTGTTTTCCCCTAGAATGAAGAAGGTATATTCACCTGATCTTTGGTCCTGCGGCAGTAAATGCTTGCGTCTCCCACAAATCCCTCCTCCGGTCCCCACTCTGGCTGTATGTCCCTCGGCATCCACGCGTCTAATGCAAGTTAATGGACCTGCAATAGACATGTCAGCGGTGCTTACACCGCCGGAGCCCAGGGAAGAAGAGGCTGCGTGGACCGGTATAGCAGCCAGGCTGGACCAAGGATCAGATGAGTATATTTTCTTTCTTTGCGCCCCTAGAACAAAACAAGCAATTTAACCCTTGCCGTGTGGGGGTAGCCCCACTGCTAAGGTTAGGGGTTTTTTGTGTTTTTTTTTTTTTAATCCTGGAGTTTCTCTTAAAACTAAAACTTAAAAAAAAAAAAAACATTTTAAAACATATATTCCTCTGCGACCCTTTTCAGGGCTATTCGATTGCAATTATATAGGTGATATGATGGGTAAAATGACTGAAATAATTCAGTGTTGATAAGTTCCTATTCAATGCATATATAAAACCACGAGTGTAAGGAGCACTACTATCTAGAATGTGACAGTGTGATATCTGATGGTTGATAAAGAACAAATGGTATGACTTACAGTTAGGAGGCAGCTGGTGTGTCAATGTGGTAAGACAGTGACAGGTGCCTGGAGGGAGTCCGAGGAGGAATGAAAGATTGAATGATAACGGGTGTGAAAGCACTGTGGAGATCCCTAGCAGCACGGCTGGCCGGGCCGCGGCGGCTTGGGAGAGAAAAAGCCGCAAGCGGCTGTGAGCAACTTTGTTCTGTGCGTGCAGATCTTCACTTTGAGGCTTGACAAAGAGGCTGTGCCTCGAAACGCGTAGCCGCCACCGTACAGAGAGCCTCTTCTCCGTACAGGTGACCATTCCTTCTGACTTCTTCCCCTACCCAGGACCGATTCTGGCTGCGTGACATCAGCCTGCACGCACCGACCACAGTTGCTCAGAGCCACTTGCGGCTTTTTCTCTCCCAAGCCGCCGCGGCCCGGCCAGCCGTGCACGTGTGCTGCTAGGGATCTCCAGTGTTTTCACACCCGTTATCATTCAATCTTTCATTCCTCCTCAGATTCCCTCCAGGCACCTGTCACTGTCTTACCACATTGACACACCAGCTTCTGACACACCAGCTGCCTCCTAACTGTAAGTCATACCATTTGTTCTTTATCAACTATCAGATATCGCACTGTCACATTCTAGATAGTAGCGCTCCTTGCACTCGTGGTTTTATATATGTATTGAATTGCAGGGTCCTCTCCCTGTTGGTAGGCGCTAGCACGCTATACTTTTTCAGCCCGTTTCCACTCAGAATTTACAACCAGTTGTGCGCTTTTTTTCATCTGTTTTTGTCCTATTCAATGCAGTTGACTTTATATTCCAGTAAACACTTTCTTCTATTGTAGGTGAAAAAGGAATCCCAAGCCCAGTACCTATTCCATCGTATGCAAAGAAAGTCTTGATTGCACTTTGTAAGGACATTCCATTTCAGGTTGTGTGTACGTCTTGCAATTGTGAGCTGCGTTCTCATATGGAAGTAACGGCACACTTCAGGTATGTTCAGTGTATGGTAGGAATGATTAAATGAGTAACATGGATGGATACCATTCTACATGTATCCACTTGTCAAGCTTTAGAACCTAGTGTGATTTGTCTGAGGTGTACTGAAGTGCTGCATGCTTATTTCTGAACTTCCTTTGCTCTTGCCAGGTTAACAGATTTTCCAATAACCGATAATGAGCTCGTATTATGGTCAGAAGTGCTCATTATTATCACAGGGTACCCATAAATTCCGGCATGGAATCAGGGGTTCTAAGAAACGCTGATTTCAAAGCCCTTTTGTAGTCACAACAATAGATATGCAGTCAGATACACCTGGCTATAATGTTAATTTACCTTGATCATGAGATTAGTTATGATCTAGATAGATATAGTGAGATATTTTTTCTTGCTCACTTGTTATTTGACTTTTGTTTTATTTAGAACACTATGTCGAAACGCTGGGCCTGCCTCACTTTCAGACAAGAGCATAGCTGATGTTGCATCTATTTTCCGGCTATATGCTTTCTGCCAGACATGCAAACAAGGTCTGAGTGATGAAGCACACATTGCAAAACACATTGCGAGAACAAGTCACAACGTCAAGCAGATTACTTCGATAGAGGAGTCTATTTTAGCATTTTGCTACCTAAATGAAGGAACAAAAACACCTTCTGACTTCTGCTTGTTGGCTGCCAATGCTAGACTAAAACATTGCACACTAAAGAGAAGCTTAAACGATACTGATGACAGCAGTGTTTTGTCAAAGCGTGTGAAGGAAAGTGAAACTGGTGATGGTCTAAAGAAAGAGAGCAGTTTAATGGCCACTGCTTGGTTCTGTGAATGCTCTCATCAGTTTGCAGCTGAGGAAGATGCTGAAAAACACATAATGACAGCCAATAAGATCTTTCACAAGTGCATGGTATGCAGCAAGCTTGCTGTTGACCCTGCCATTATTCGCCTGCACATGAGTCGATTTCACGGTGGTGCACGCTTGGAAAGTTTTCTTTTCTGGTGCCAGATGTGCAAGACTGAGCTAGCGAGGATTGAAAATGTGTTGATGCATATTGTAGATTGTCATGGTGGTCATTCCTTTTACTATGAACAGGAAGTGCCTGAGGAGCAATCTACTTCTTCAGAGGCTGAGATGATACTCGAACTTCCGGAAAGAGACACATCCCCATCACCACAGCAGTCTGCCGAATGCTTATGGCAGTGCCAAATTTGTGAGGAGATGTTTGATTCTGAAGAGACAGTCATACAACACTGCAAATCTCTAAGCATGCACCAGTTTCATAAATTCTGCTGTGATGTCTGTAAGAAGAAGTTTCATAAAATGGAGACTTTACTTCGGCACTGTCAGCTTCAGCATGATGCAGTCGTAAAAATGAAATATTTCTGTGGGCTTTGTGAAGATCTCTATTTTGATGAAGAAGCCGCCTTCTTTGGTCACTATGAGAGTTTCCACAGTTTGGACTATACTTGTATACCAAATCAGGGGCAGTCAAGTAATAAAATGTCAGACTTGCCATTGAATATATGCAGTGAGCATGAAAAACAGCTAACTTGTGGCTGCCTGGCAAAATATTCACTGAAAGTGAAACAGAAGACTGATACCAAACTCTGCTTGGATAGACTGTTTGGGAAAGGAAAACTTTGGTACAGCTGCTCCTCATGTTCAGCAACAGACCAAACCTTTGAAGGCATCAATACACATCTTTGTAAGAATAAGGAGCAGGCCAGTAGCAGAAATGTTGTTGTTAAGTGCAGCATTTGCTCCAAATCTTTTGCGCACCCAGAGGCTGCTCAATCTCATTATCACGTGAAACACAGTTTTCTGAATGAGCCACGTAAAAGTTATAATTTCAGAACTGATGGATCCAAAGGTGAGGTGTTTACATTTACAGCAAGAAACACCTCTGTTAACAAAGTGCCTGCAAGACCAAAGCACACCAGTGCAAAATCATCGCGTTGCGAGGCTCAGAATAGTGCCCCAAATCACATTGTTGAGACAAATGCTTCATGGTCTGGGAAAATCAAACCAGAAACTGATGCTATGGAGATAGAAAACACTGACAAAGGTATTACACTTTGATTATTACGTGACATAATATGATGGGAACATGTATTTGAAAGGAAAGTTTGCTAATTTTATTACTGTTGGTTAAGCTGGCCACCCACGCCTCATATTTTGGCTGATCCAGTAAGAATTAGTTATACTGCTGCTGGCACCACCTGGTTCAGCCAAAGACCATTTTTCAGTGGACTTTTGCCAAAGGAGCCTGGTGGAAAATTATCAGCCAATCGATGCCTGCAGATGTATACTGCAGCCATGGCTCCTGCAGCATAGCTGATAACAGGAATTCCTGTATCATGCTGTTTAGTGTGGATGGGGGAATTGAATGCTTGATGGTCTGTGTGGCTAGCCTAACTTTCTGACTTGAACTCTAAAAATAAATACATCTTGGTAGTTCCATTTCCAGGACAGCAAAGGAGCCTCCCTTCTACGCTGTCCTGGAGGATGAGAGTTGAGAAAAAAGTTAATACAAGACTAAGGATTTTTCTTGACGGATGTCAAGTAGAAAAAAAAAAATGGCCTAATTGGAAGGGTCTACAGTCTGACAGTACCACACCAAATGCTTTTGTAGCCTTTCTGGTGTACATTTGTAGAGCGGGTATTGAAGAAATGTCCCTCTAACCAAAAGCCAGATTTATTGATCAATCACATAGTGTTGTAAGAATTGAATAGTTTTGTCACAGTTTTAGTGTTTGCGCACTATTGCAGCATAAGCAATGTCCTTTTTTTTTTTTTTTTTTTTTTTTTTTTTTTTTTTTTTTTTTTTTTTCTCTCTTTTAATTGTGTACTGTACCTCATTTTCAGTGAAAAGTAATGATCAATTTATAAATATTGTTCTCTAGAACTGCAGGATTGCGAGTTACCGGATTTGGATTTTCTCAAAACTATGACCCACATTGTTTTTATTGACTTGGACAATTGGGCCCAGTTTTTTTCTCATCTGCCAGGATACCTAAACCAAGGAACATTTGTGTGGGGATTTCAAGGTAAGCTTTCCTTTCGTTTTTTTTTTTTCATTTTAAGACTAAAGACAAGTATTCCGTTCCTCATATTCCTTTATACCTGGAACAGATTGCG